GGGGTGCCAGAAGGAGAAGAACAACAGCAAGAAATTGAAAATTTATTTGAAAAAAAAATGAAGGAAAACTTCCCTAATCTGGTGAAGAAAATCCACTTCCATGAAGTCCAGGAAGCCCAGAGAGTCCCAAAGAAGTTGGACCCAAAAAGGAACACACCAAGGCACATCATCATTAAGTTGCGCCCAACATTAAAGATAAAGAGAATATCCTAAAAGAAGCAAGAGGAAAGGAGAGAGTTACTTACAAAGGAGTGCCCATAAGGCTATCAGCTGATTTCTCAAAAAAAAAAAAAAAAACCTCACAGGCAAGAAGGGGCTAGAAAGAAAGCCCCTGAAGTTATGACTTTATTTGAAGTCATGAAAGACAAGGACCTACATCCAAGATTACTCTATCTAGCAAAGCTATTGTTTAGAATGCAAGGACAGATAAAGTGCTTCCCAGATAAGGTCAAGTTAAAGGAGTTCATCATCACCAAGCCCTTACTATATGAAGCATTAAAGGAACTTATCTAAGAAAAAAAGTTTAAAAATATGAACAATAAAATGACAACAAACTCACAACTCTCAACAAAGAAGCTTAAAAGAAAAGAAAAACAACAAAAACCAAAACTAAGCGAACAACCAGAACAGGAACATAATCAGACAAATGGACATTACACAGGGATTTCAGTGGGGAAGGGGAAGGGGAAGGGAGGAATAGGGGTGAAAAGATACAGGGAAGAAGAAGCATAATTGGTAGGCATAAAATAGATGGGGAGAGATAAAAAATGGTATAGGAAACAGAGGACTAAAAGAACTTATACGTACAACCCACAGACATGAACTAAGGCAGGGGGAATGCTGGAGAGTTACGGGGGCAGGGCAGAGGGGTGATAAAGGGGCAAAATTGGGAAAGCTGTAATAGCATAATCAATAAAAAATACTTAAAAAAAGAACCTCTATTAGTATTTACATGTAATTTTTTGACTAATTATATGGAATTCTCCTTGATTCCCCTGTAGGAAAAGAAAAGATTTTGATACTGGGACAAGGTAATATTGTTAGAATGTGGGTTTTTATAATGTAAACTTTAGTATAATAGCATATAGCTCAGAAAAGTAAGCAAGACACATTTTTAAAAAACCCTAAGGATCAGAACAGCATTTAATATAGGTAATGCAGTTTAAAAAATTAAATATTTGAAAATGTATGAATTCTACTACTACCAGAAATTTAATAATTGGAGAGAGAATGGGTTTACTTGTTCAGAAATCTTGTATATGAATCAGATAGTGGTGTTATGAAACTACTGTACAGAAATTTGGAGACAGCTACTTTAGTTCTTTCTTCATCAAAAAAGGGAGTAGAGTCTTAGCTTGGAAGTTCTTCCTTTGGAGAACTATTGGCTATTAATATGCTAATACCTTAAACAAACTAATAAATGAAGCCAAATTCTGACATCATATCTGTGCTTACCAAGCTGTTAAGGGGGAGGGCAAATCAGTGATTCTGGGAGAAATTAATAGGACTGAAAATCTTTAGTAAAAGAAAACAAAGAACTGCAGAGACAAACTTGAACAGTATTCTGTAATTTGTTTGATCTTAAACAATTTTCTTACAACTATTATTGTGTTGTCTGTTAAATAAATGAGTAACTATGTCTAGTTTGTTAGGAAGGAAGATTGATAAAGGGAAGCACAGCTATGAAATCAAGAATTTAAATTGGGAGGGAGGAAAGAGTGGAAATACTTGTGTGAACTTGTACCTTAACAGGAATAAATATATATATTTACCTTGTTTTGTTTATAGACAAGATCTAGAGATAACATTCTATAGGGTAGGGCAGGGTCCACATTGCAGTTACTTACACAATTTCTTTCCCACTAAAAGGAACCAGAAATCATTGGGGAAAAAGTCCATTTCCATGTGTTTTGCAGAAATGAACAAGGTGAGTCTGGGAGATATTTATATTCCAGAAAGCAGAGACATTTTCAAAGATCAATGGGCGATGCCAAAAGGACACAGGAACCCTGTAAAAAGGTTGCAGTCTGAACCTCACATGGAAAATAGTGGCTTTGTTCGGATGAGCAAACATAAAATCTGAAAACCACAGGTCCATGATGATGCACAGAAAGAGGAAAATTAATCTGTTTGAAAGAAGATTTAAAGAACAGAGTGTAGATTTAGGCAGACCTATCATTCAATTACTCCGGTATTACTGCCTCATATTATTATATGACAAATGATAGAAAAAACATATTAAATACATCTGTTGAAAGCATTTTCAAACTTATAAGGACCATTAGTAAAATTACTGCACATTGTGACATCCAGGTAGGTGAAACCATATACGGTGTCCAAAATTTAGCCGGACATGTATTTAAGTGTTAAGAATCTCGCCATCCTGCGTATATAAGAAATGCAAGATTCCATCACGTGCCAAAGTCTCTGAAGTTATATTTCTATCAAATCAAAGCTCTACACTCTTTACTTCAGGTTTATAGACCCCCTCAAACGTAAATGAGATAAAAGATTATACCTTCAATATTAACCTCTATGTGAAATTTAACATTCTCTTCAGTTACAAATGGAGCTCACAAATCACAGTAGTACTAGCAGAACCTGTGATTTTTGTCTCAGGTAGAAATCACAGATATTCTCATACATTCTAATTGTTGTAAATATCATAACATACTATTTATAGTAACTTTTGTGTTAATAAAATATATATTATTTTACCACAGATTTGATTTTTAATATTTTATAGAAATATTTCAATAGACTGTACACTTTATCTATTAACCATTACACTGGTTCTAAGGCTTCACTCGACTGCCAAAAAGGTCAATGGTACCAAATACAATTAAGAATGCCTGGGAAGAAGGAAAAAAACCCTTTATAAAGGCTTATAAACTTGAGTAGGAGCTGCAAGATTTTTGAAATAGGCCTGAGAAACTGAATCCAAAGAAGTGGGCTAAGTGGACACTCTTCTTTTAAAGTTGGTGGTTTTAAAACAGGGCCAAATAGGTTTTGACATTCCTCTGATCCAGAACTCTGGTCTCTGTCCCCTCCCTTTGAATCTGGTCAGGCTTGTGACTGTCTGGACAAATAACTAAAGGCGTGACAGTACAGAACTTCAGAGCTTCAGCACAAAAAGGCAATTAATGTTCCTCCTCGTTCTTTGGGGATGCTGGTTCTCACCACTGTGAACCTCCATGGAAGAAGGTCCTTCTACCCTGGGGCTGCCACGAGGTGAGGAAGCCCAAGCTCAGGGTGAAGGCTGCTGTTGGCAACTAGGTTGACAGTCCCCACTGAGCCCAGCTGTTGTCTATCCCAGCCCAAGTGCCAGGCATGTTGGTGGAGAAGCCTCTAGATGATTCCAGCACTCAAGGTGTTTGTGTTACCGTGAGCCATTCACTTCCTAGCTGAGGCCCAAGACACCGGGCAGCAGACACAAGCCATCCCCTCTGCACCTGTTTAAATCTCTGACACACAGAATGTGGATGAAAAACAGGTGGCTCTTTTATACCACCAAGTTTTAGGGTGATTGACTAATGCAACAACAGATGACTAGAATAGGGTTTGGATGGGTCAAACATAAATCTAGTTAGTTTTATAGCATGAATCTCTCAGTAGATGATGTCAGTTGAAACAAAATAGACTACACATAGCATGAGGGTCAATCTAATTTTCCTGAAGGTCATGCAGGTTGCAGTTCACACGATTTTAGAACTCAGGCTATATGACCCTGAGTAGATGGCCTCAGATTACACAGCACCATCCTGACATGGCTCTTAGTGGCTGTCTTGAGGCTGTACTTTTCTATCTATGTCATTTCTATTCTATTTTTTATGGAGTGTGGGGATACCAGGCCAATGCTGAACTCGATACCAACACAAACTGCATTTGAGCCAGGAAGACTAGGCCTCTTTAAAGAATTTGGAAGAAAGAACTGCTTAGGTGCCAGAGGGCTGACACCGTGAGGCTCTCTTGGACCCTGCCTTGGGTACCCAATGCCCACATCTCCCTTATCATTATATAGATAGTACTGCTGGTCTACCCCGCCACATGATCACACACCCCTGGGCAATAAGCCCTGAGCACATCATAACCTCCACCAAGGCAGGGTGAAAGTTTACAACTCAGATTTAGATGGAAGCCCAGATGGTTGCAATGTGGCTGTTCAGGTCTCTCTATCTTATATTCATCTGGATAATGAATTGTGTGAAGCAGGAGAGTGATGTGGTTTTTAAAAAGCTTTATTTTTTCTTTTTTATTAACCAATAGATTTTCTACAAATTCTTTTCATGCCTGTGACTAGAGATTTGGCATGCACAAAGTATTCTGGAAAGGTATTTTGATTATAAAAAGCATTTCAGCCTATTAAAATCTGTACTTATTAAAAATTTTAATTTTAAATAATGTTGAGATAATGTGTCTATATTTGTGTGTGTATATATGTTTTAATATTTTTTGAATCAATGATCTAAAAACACTGACAATACTCAAGACAAATTAGGAAACACTAACTTGTTGTTTTGTTGTTTTTCCTCCTTCTTTATAATACTTACAAAAAGTATAGGCTATCTTCACAGGTCAATTTTTTTAAATATCTAAAACCCTGGTCCACCATCAGCAAATTGGCAATTTGCTTTGTGCAGAAGTTATTAAGGCCTTCAGATTTTTTTTGTGGATAAAAGAAGTACAGAGAACTAACTAGCATCCTAAAGGGCTTAAAGTCCACTGAAGAATGAGCTCAGTTACACAACAATTCCATTGGTTTGAAGATACAGACATGGAAACTTTTCAGAAGACTTGAAAACTTAGAGACACATGTGAAGACATGATACTGTTTCACACATTTGAGACATAACTGCTTATGTCCAGAGCCCCTGGTCACGAACTCCAGTTCTCAGAGGCATTTCATAGAAAACATATCTTCACTTATGAGTAACAAAAGTAGAGGTTGGTGAAATTTGGTGAGACCGGCTAAAGTAACTGTCAAACAATTATATCCGTACCTGTGAGGTAGGTGTTGTGCGAGGAATTAATGAAATAGTGAGAAAGCGGCTGAGACATATCTTCGCTCACATCCAGTTTCTCAGGTGAAACGACTCCATTTTCTTCTCCACTCAGATACCGCATAAATCCATCCACTGATATCTGTCCTGGAGGGAAGGGAGAGTTAAGAAGAGTGTGAATGTATTCTTTGTATGAACAGTGAAAGGACAGCAAACTCACAGTTATTAACCACCACGCCTAAAACAAAAGCAAACTAAAAGGACAGCTAGATCAGGAGCAGAACCATAGAAATGAAGATCACATGGAGGGTTAGCAACAGGGGAGTGGGAGAAGGAGAAGGGGGGAGAAGGTACAGAAAATAAGTAGCATAGATGGTAGGTAGAAAATAGATAGGGGGGAGGGCAAGAATAGTATGGGAAATATAGAATCTAAAGAACTTGAGACACATGGACATAAACTAAAGGGGGGAGAATGGTAGGGGGTGTGCAGGGTGGAGGGGAATGAATGGGGAGAATGGGACAACTGTAATAGCATAATCAATAAAATATATTTTAAAAAAAGAAGAGTGTGAATGTATTCTTTGTATGAGTTGCTGGTGTCACGTGGTTTTAACGTTTTCTCCCAGAAAGCTCTGGTCACATCCGAAGTAGAAGACAGTAATCACATTGCATTTTGATATGGATAAATCATTCTATTTCATTGCCATTATCTCCAAGTGCTATAGACAACAGAGAAAAATGTACTTACATGAACCTAACTTCCTTTCATAGGTGTTAAATACCTAAATGCCAACCTCCTATTTTAAATATTAGAATGGTTAAACTGTATGGATGGACACAAAAGTTATTAGTGCTTATCTCTAGGTAATAGAATTAACGAGGATCTAGTTTCATTGTTTTGCATGTACCAGTTCAGTTCTCCCAGCAACCAGAGGGGAGGGTGGAGAGGGAGACGAGTGGAAAGAAGGGGAAGGGATTAGTCAAAAAACATGTATGAATGACACATGGACATGGACAACGGTGTGGGGACTGACTGTGGGAGTGGAGGTGGGCTGGGTGAGGAGGACAAAGGGGGAAAATTGGGATAACTGCAATAGAATAACAATAAAAATATAAAAAATTAAATTTTATTTAAAAAGAGATTCAGGGGTGATTTTCCAAATTTTCCATTACAAATATATACTTTTAAAATAAAAAGTTAATTACAAGTGGTTTTATTATTTAAAATGAAGTGAAAATGTTTTTTAAAAATGGTATATTTTGAAAGAGACAATAAAGATGACCACAAATGAATCTCTCCTAGAAAAAAATATCAGAAGCTGATATCAAAGGAAATCTTTACATTTCTTATTTAGAATGACTTTATTTCAAATGGAAAAAACATGATTCACACTTTATTTGCTTTGCTCAGATTCTGTTCTTTTGTTGTAACCTTTCTGAGGTGACAATGCTAAGTACTGAATTAGATCTTTATTGTTATCATAGTAATCTTAACTATTTTGATCCATCACCACAGTTTGTTTCTTCAATCTTAACAATCAAAGCCTCGAAAGAAAAAAAAATAAACCTTGCAAGCAAATGTTGAAGGGTAGAATTTTTTCTTGTTGAAATAGTTTTGTATTAATATAAAAGTGGTATTGTATTAATATAAATGTTCATTGAAGAAAAATTAGGAAATGAGATAAGCAGAGAAGAAAAATAAAACTTTTGCTGAACATGTTCATCTTTTGTTTCAGAGGTAACTACTGTTAAAATCTTATGTGTGTGTGTATCCTTCCAGTGGAAAAAATATGCGTGTATAATTATTTTATGAGGATGCAATCATATATAGACTTAGTAACTCTCATTTATATTAATGACCAATATGTTACAAACTCTTTTGTACAAATTCTTAGTTATTTCCTTAGTATGCATTCCAAGAAATAGAACTGCTGGTTCGAAGACTATGCTTATTTTTAAAGTATTATTTTTTTGGACGGGTAAGCAATTTGCTTTCTGTTAAAGTTCTAGCAATGTGCTCTTTCAACAGTGGCTTTCCTTCTCTTCACCCCTGCACCAAACTCATTGGTAAAAAGATATCTAATAATTCTAATTTTTATTAATTTGTTATTTATTCTTGAATGGTAAAAGGTGTGTCATCCATAAATAGCAAAGCTAGCACTGACTATTCGCCACCGTGTAAATCTTTTAACAGTCAATACAATTCACAATGTGGCTGATGAGTACTCTTCCCAATTTTTGAAACGTTGATTCAAAACTTTGAATTTAAGATGATTTGAAACTTAAATCATCTTAAATATTTTGAAAACCTGGTTAAATATTTTGAAAACCTGATTAGGGGAGCTGAGTTTTATAAAAAGAAAAATCTTCCTAAACAAACTTTGAAATAGAACAATTATTTACACTATGAGCTCCTTAAAAAACAACCCTAAAATGTACCAAAATAATTTTAATAATAAAGGAAAAAAGTACTAAGAAGTTCTCTTGCATGAAATAGGACAAAAGGTCCTCATCTTAGATGCTTGTGTAATCAGTTTTTGACAGATGTCCAGTTTATAAATCAGCCCCAAAGGCCACCGCCTAACGAAGCAATCATGCTGCTCATTCTGCCTTTGATAGATTGCACATGTCCTCTCACCTGGTTCCAAGTTTTGGAAACAAACACAAGTCAGTACAACATAGGGCCAAAGCGATTTTAATAGATGGCTTTAAAAACTATTGTGGAGTTTAAAACCCATGAAGAGGTAAATCTTTAAAATCTAATTTCTTTGTAGTCTTCCTTTTTTATGACCAGTCCATTTGCCAGCTTCTTCTCAAACTGGTGTCCGTTCCTCCCCACACTTGCCTTCCTTCTCCCCTCTCTCACTACCTTCCATTCACTTAACAAATATTTAGTGATCATCTGCTATGTGACAGAAAAACACAGCAGAGCAAAGCACAGCCTCTGCCTCACAGAGCTCATAATTTAATAGAAAACAAGACAGTTCACACCTTGAAAGCCAGGTGTGAACATCTCCGAGGCAGGGTGCACCTTTGTGTCTGTCATCCTGGAATCTGCCACAGTGCTTTGTGCACAGTAGGTGCTCAATCAGTGCTCCTTTCTGATGATCAGTGATTCAAAAGAGAAAATAAGTTGCTTTACACCTGGCAAATCGCCAAGGATAGCATGACTTTGATTCTTTTTTTGATTAAGTTGGATCTCATGAAGTTGCTAATAACTGGCATTATGCCAATGACAACTGCATACAACTAGTTTCTAACTACAGCTATTTCTCAGAGGACCAGCAGTAAATACAAGCGTCTACAGGGACCAGCGAGGAAAAGCAACGTGACTGCTGGAGTAACGTGTGCACCAAGTAGCTGTGGGGTGTGGAAAACTCACAAGGGCACACCTCTAAAGGCATAAATGGCAGCAATAAAATACTGTGTTGCCAAACATACCATCTTCATTTTCCTGAATTTAATCTTGAGGCTATTGGCTTGTGTCTGTTACCTTACCCAAATAAATATCCTTTAGTTTAATTAGCAAATTTTAAAAGCAATTAAAACACAACATATACCAACATGGTAGAGATGACAAATTAATTTTAACTGTAGCATTGATTCCCATTTATTGCTTCTAATACCTTACGAGCACTTGTGGTGAGAAAGATTTTGAAGCATGCTTGTCATTAATTTTGATATCATCATGAGTACAGGACAGAAAAGTGGGGATGTACCAGCTATATATTTGTCATTCTCAAATGAGCATGTTACAATTAAATCAAGTTTACAATCTGCAACATGCCAGAAATATGTGTCAAAGTTTTATTTAATCCATTAATGAGGAAACCCAGAGTATGATGCTGTCATTTCAAAGAACTCTATGAGACATGGATACATACATGTATGTGTGAGCAAACTCCCCAAGCAAAAAGAAAAAAAAAACCCAAAACCTGGAAAAATACTGTGAAATTGAATACAGAGCTGGTTAATATCCTATAAATCAATTAAACATAACCTTGGGTTATCTTCTCTAACTTTATCATTTCATAGGAACTGGAAATTTTAAAATCAGTAAAAAACAAGAGTTAGGTGAATCAGTGTTTGTGAGGATTATTCACAATCATATTCAATAATGCATAAATCCCCAGTGACACATTTACATAGCTTGGAACAAGAATAATGATTGAGGTTAGAATACAGTTCAGAACATGACCGCAGGCTGGGTGAGCAAACACTGGGAACAACCTTCTAACCCCAAAGCTTTGCCTCGCTAACTAAAGCAATAAATGTGCAAGATTCTGATGCATCGAATGACTAAGCAGAGATATGTGAAAGTCAAGAGAATCCAATGAAAAAGTAAGGGTAAGGAGTAGTCAGTTTATCATTTGTAAGGTGTCAGCTAAGGGGTCCGAAGTTCATTTGCAAAAATGCAGATGGTTGGCATAATGAATTAGCCCCCAAATAGTTCTGATTAGTAAAGGTTTTGAGACAGAAATAACAGAACATTACAGAATTTCCCTGTGTTGCATATAGCCTATGGCTGAAATATTTGCAGTTGTTACAAACTTAAATGCATTAGTCCTTCTCCACCAACCTTGCACTGTTTTTGTGAAACTGATTACATTTGTTTTTCTGGTCCACTCAGGAGCATACAAGAATGAAAAACCTTGAGAGTTAAGATAGGAAAACACTGGTTTTCTAAACAAATTAGTAACAGCACAAAGAATCCCATTTCCATTCCTGCGGGCAGTAACTGATCAGGGACAAATTTCCGAACATAAAAGATGAGTAAAATCCCAGTCAGGGCACATGCCTGGGTTGCAGGCCAGTTCTCAGCGGGGGACACACGAGAGGCAACCATACATTGATATTTCTCTCCCTCTCTCCTTCCCTTCCCCTCTAAAGATAAATAAATAAAATCTTTGAAAAATTTGAATAAAATATATGGACTCTTAAGTCTCTTTTACCTGTAAAACTCACTCTATAAATTCAGGTGGTCTAAAATCTTAGGGGTGATTACTAGCTAAATTAAAACAAAATGTCTCATAATAGTATGAGATTATGAAACAACAAACCACAACTAAAAGCAATGCTACAATTTTTTGGAATAAAATCAACAGTAAAAGAAGTTAAGTTCAGAAAGAGAAGGCCAGCTGACAATG